AATGACAATATGCATTCATTTGAATTCTCTGGTTTTCTTATTGCCAAAGTAGCTGTTCTGTTACCTGGAGGAAATGGATGTGATCCTCTGTGTGTGAAAACTGCTCCAGCTCAGAGTGTCTCCTCTTTAGTTCATCTATCTCCTGCTTCAGTCTCTCCATGTCTCCTTCAGCCTGACTCACTGCAGCCTTCTGCTGATCTCTGATCAGCTTTGTCACCTCAGAGCGTCTTCTCTCAATGGAGAAGATCATCTCAGTGAAGATCCTCTCACTGTCCTCCACTGCTGACTGTGCTGAACTCTGTTGGTGACACAGGGAGCAGAGTAAATTACAATTGCCCCCTTTTGAGACTCCATCGAGCTTCATTGTACAATAGAGATGTGAGCTGACAGGAGGTATAAAAACAGTACAGGGCTGGGGTTTGGAGTGTCATGATGCTGGATGCCTCAGGTACTGAAACCCAGCCAGCACTGATTAGAAATGATCACTGTAAATCTGTATTATATTCAAAGTTCTATTTTAAAAAATCTATTTCTCTTTTTTATTTTTTTCATATCCTTTGTAACTAGTTGCACAGTCAAAAGAGTGGTTCAGGATACATTTCACTGCAGGTTGCACCTGTATGACTATGCATGTGACAATTAAAGAATCTTGAATCCCTCATTAAGCTCATACACTGTCAGCTGCAGGGATTTGGCAGAGACTGGTGGCTGTGTGGGGCAGGTTGGTTTCCACCATTAGGTCTCAATTTAATAGGTGACTTTTTCAGTGTTTATTTGCATTACGCTGGGGGTGTGAAAAGTTGCATTTTCTAAAATGGGCCTTTTATGGTATTTTTTTAAATAAATAAGCTACTACTGCTGCAGCACTTGGTTAAACTCTGTTATCTAGCAACTTTACCCCATTCAACCTCCGAGCCAGAATAACCCACAGCAGCATTAATTTGATTAATCCCCACAAGTCTGTAAATCTGAGAGAAGATTCAATATGATCAAAAACCAGCTGTTATCTTCTCTTCAGATTCATACTCACTGTGAATGAGCCCACAGCCTCTCTCAGCTCCTGCAGCTCCTTCTCTCTCATCTGAATTCTCTGCTGAAATTCCCTCTGTGTTTCACCCATTTGTTTCTACAGACAGGAAACAAGATGACAAAACAAGTTTGTTTCATTATCTGAGATCACATTCATTAATCATCCTGTCCAGGGTGGACCCCAGCCTTGGGCCCTATGCTGCCTGGGAAAGGCTCCAGGCACTCCCCCTGAGCCTGACCTGGATTACCGGTTAGGAGATGGATGGATGGATGGATATTCGTAAATGATTTATTGACTGTAGGTAGGATACAATGGACATAAACCCTTTGGTCCTGTTTCCACCTGGTATTAACATGCGTCCTGGGTGATCAAATCACAAGTGGACAGCGCTGATTACCCAGGACGCATTGAAGATGCATTGAGATCTGATCTCCCACATTGGGAGGTGGTCTGGGCCGCATATGGCAACATTCTTATAGCAATGTGAAGGTGAATGTGTCCTGAGCTGCATTGCAGGACCGGCTACTCAACTGACGTCCTATTTGATTTATATCAGAATGCATGTCAGTTGATAATGGGCCACTGTGTAGTAAACTGCACTGTGAACAACAATAATGCATCTTTTCTGCTGCGATACTAAAAACTTTGAGTCTGCCAGGAAGTTGGTTTAACATTCGACTGTTGTGACCCATTCATATAGAAACAAATTCAGAAAAGAAAATGTGTAAGAAGTGATTTCTTAAAGATGTTTCAGAATTTGCACAGATCATATATTTAATGTGCATGTTGGGGCGCAGCCTGGTGCAGGCAGAGAAACAAGGTGACGATCCACTTAAAAGCTCCAAGACAAAGGGATTTAAGGAAACTGAAACTGGAAAGACACAAAATAAAGGAACAACAAGGTAGAGCCCTGCACGGGACTATTTTTTTAATCCCGCTCCCGCCCACTCCCGCTGAATTTCTGACGATTCCCACCCAATCCCGCC